CTAATATGTCCCCCTCTTTGTGCAAAGACATGGGGCGGTAAACGTGGTCGATTAAAGCACGCTACTTATCTTTCGCTGTAGACTAGTCTGCAACACTCAATACTGCTAATTTACAAATCCCTACATGACCAGCGGTTATCGATGCAAAAATATAAAGGAATTGTCAAAGAAAATTGTCAAATTTTCGGCTACCCTCAAGCTCTGTAAAGCTCTTGAAACGAGGTCTATTGTGATTAAAGTATCGCGAACATCCCATTGTTGGAGCGACACTCAAAGCCCCTGCTCCGGTGGCACTGAAACGCGTTATTGTATCAGCTAGTGTGATATTGAAAACGTTCCAATGAAGGTAATAAAAAGATGTTTGGTAAGGGTTCTTCATCATGTCGCCTTGGGCATAGAGCATGATTCCCCTCCCCGCTGGTCCAAATGCATTGCCGCTGTTGTTGAGTAAACCTCTTGAATTCTGAAAGCTATTCCAAGCCCGCAACCGTACCCTTCACATCTGGATCGGGACTAACACCAAACCTGTATTGTTTTCAACCTTCTTATCCATTAATAATACCAGCAAATTAAACAAACACCCAGAACTCTCGTTTGCCTTAAAGCCCTTTTGTACCATTTGGGGTTATTTCATTAGTTTCCATAATTAGCCCCACAGAAACAAACCGCACACATTTCATTTCAATTAGACCTTGTGTAATTCAGTTCTTTTCGCCAAGTGAATTGCATCTAATTGTTCCCTCTGTGACAAAAAGTAGTTAAGATTGCGGTTTCCAAATTTGTTCTTGGTTTTCAATTTAGTTTTTTGGGGTTGCTAAATACGTCAGAAATATTTGAAAGTTGAATTAGTCCTTTTTAGTCTTTAACTTTCGATATATTCAGTGTATTCTCAACATTAACTTTAAGTGAAAGTGTTATCAATGTTGAAAAATATGGTCATTGTATTTTCTTAAATTCTTTTGTTCAAATGTATTTTTAAACATATTGCTTTGTATCATTTGAAAGGCATGAATTAATTAAAAAGATGCGTCTTGCTCTCCAATAAATTACATAACCAGAGTATTATAGGAGTATGGGTTTCAGTACAAACATACCAAATGCGTCTGAGGTCGTTGATGACTGGTGCATTCTGTTAGATTTAGATTTAGATTAAGATTTAACATAATGACGACTGCCCCAAATTATACAGGAGCGCTTACCCTTCTGGGGCACCCGGTTTCATCCCTGGTTTTTGTTAGGTTTCGTGGAGCATTCTATATTTTAGTGTCCCCCTTTTCCAGTTATTATCTCTCGTTTAGCTTAGATATTTGATATCTGAATTTGCCGTCTGTACGTTTTTCAGTCTTTATGAATGACTAGAATATGAACGTAATGAATAAATGCATATTCATCTCTTGCATATTATTTGATCAGTAAAGACTTACTGTAATGTAATATAATTGATGTAGAATTAAACATTATCTGTAAAAAAATGTTTCTAGTTTTGTCCTGATATATATTCATTTGATGACTTTTTGTATTGGTACATGATGATGGTTATATTTTGACCTGGTTAAATTGAGTTACACTTCGGTGTAAATCCTGTTGTTCTTTATTTCAGTCTTCATCACTAAGTATATACTTATTTGATTATGATACTTTATACTGCATTTATTAAATCTTAGTTTTAGGACATATTCGGAACGTTGGTTTATTAAGTACGTTTCCACTATTAATTACATACTATTAAATGTCTGTCATATGAAGTACATTCAATAGTATCATGTTTGTATGTATATTGTATACACTTGTCGAAATCAAACCTTGTTCACTCAGAAACTTCTAAATAGTGTTTCTAGTCCTCATGTAATGAATTTTATAATAATAATTATTGGGTGAAGTATACCTTAATAGCTATTTAGTGAGGTTTAACATTGATAAGTTTTAATCACGTTTACATTAATACCTTTAATGAAGTTTTCACGGACTACTATTTAGTTAAGTTTACATCGATAACTATTTAAGAAGTTTACGTTGATAACTATTTAGTTAAATTTACATCGATAACTATTTAGTTAAGTTTACGTTGATAACTATTTAGTTAAATTTACATCGATAACTATTTAAGAAGTTTACGTTGATAAGTTTTAGTGGAGTTTACATTGATCACCATTGAGTGAAGTTTACATTGATAACTACTTAATGAACTTTACCTTGACAATTAAATTAGTGAAGGTTACATTGATGGCTATTTAATGAAGTTTACACGGACAACTATTTAGTTAAGTTTACATCGACAAATATTCAAGAAGTTTACGTTGATAAATATTTACTGAAGTTTACATCGATAACTATTTAATGAACTTTACCTTGACAATTAAATTAGTGAAGTTTACATTGATAACAACTTAATGAACTTTACCTTGACAATTAAATTAGTGAAGTTTACATTGATGGCTATTTCATGAAGCTTACGTTGATAACTATTTAATGAAGTTTACACGGACAACTATTTAGTTAAGTTTACATCGACAACTATTTAAGAAGGTTACGTTAATAACTATTTAGTTAAATTTACATTGACAACTATTTAAGAAGTTTACGTTGATAATTAAATTAGTGAAGTTTACATTAATAAGTTTTAATGACGTTTACATTAATATCTTTAATTAGTTTACATTGATCACCATTTAGTGAAGTTTACATTGATAACTACTTGATGAACTTTACCTTTACAATTAAATTATTGAAGTTTACATTGATGACTATTTCATGAAGCTTACGTTGATAACTAGTTAAGGAAGTTTACAAGGACAACTATTTAGTTAAGTTTACATCGACAAAAATTCAAGAAGTTTACGTTGATAAATATTTAGTGAAGTTTACATCTATTCAGTGAATTTACAATTATAATTATTTAATGAAGTTTACATTGGTATCTATTTAGTAAAGTATAAATTGATAAATATTTTGTAAAATTTACATTGATAACTATTTAGTGAATTAACTTTGATAACTATTTAATGAAATTTACCATGCTAGCTTTTAAGTTAAGTTAACTTTTATACTATTTAGAGAAATTTACATTAGTATTTATTTAGTGAATTGTACATTGATAAATATTTACTATCGTTAACATCGATAACTAGTCAGTGCATCGTGGTTTTAGCCAGTATATGCAAAGACGATCTGTTTAAGACTTTGTAATCAATCTTTATCAGGTTTTATAATGTAAAAATCTATCAAACCTAAGCGTGAATATTCCCATTTCCGTCTGACCAGTTCAAAAGTATGGTTTCCGGGAGTAATGAATTAATAAATATATTCATTCCGTTGAATATCCTGAAAATACTTATCAGTATCAACTATGTCCTTTATTTAATCAACTATGATGAAATATATAGACTTTTCAGGCAGAAAATGTGTAACTTCTTTTATATAACCTTTCTTTAAAGTGAACAGCAACAACAAAAACTATCAGTCATAGATCTGCGATACTCATGAATACTCTATTTGTAAAAACACAGACTATGCAGATTCGTTAATGTAACAGCCTTTTCATGGTAAACAATATATTTAAAAAGCGATAATCAAACTAAAGGAAAACTGAAATGCGTAAAGATTTCTATTAAATTGTATAAAGATTTGTATTAAAATGCGTTTATTCTGACATTTCTGGAAGAACGTTAAGTGGAAGTTCTGTTTATGGAAGAACTGAATTGAACTTGGACCAAATCCAAAGAACATCCGGAAAGCTGTATGGTGAACGACTGTAACGATCAGTCTAGTGATTATTTTTTCCACTCGGGTGATTCAGTATACTTGAAACTGACGACAAGTCAGCACACCTTCAATAAGTGCATAAATACGACGAATATTATTTGAAGGCAGCAGGACGAGTAAGTGATGATAAATTATATCACTATCGTTTTACACTTCTGTTTTTGTTTTCATTTTATGTATGAAAACATAAAACTGATTTTTAAACATCGCAAGGAATAATTTTGAAATTGTTTTAAAATTGTTAGTATGTACTCTATGAAAATTCGTAAACAAGTGAAAATGTACATTAACATTTAAATAAGACAAAATGAGTTTCATAATGATTTTGTCTATATCAATGATATTGTAATCAATTATATTTTCTGCAAATGGTTGCCCTTTACACGAAGCAGCGTGTTTATGTGTATTTAAAAGGCTTCATTATATAAATTAATTTTCATACCTAATATTTAAACAAACTGCTTCAGTAAAAGAAACTGCTATAATAAAAGTCTTTCTCGAAATGTGAAATTTCGTTGTTAATATAAAAAATTAACAACGAAATTTCGCAGCTCAACACAAATATAACATGTTAAATTTGTTATAAAAATTATGATTAAACCAACTGAAATTTCCAGTAAAATGTTGCTTAGAATTTGAGACAAAATATCAAGATTACATTTCAACTTGTATTGAAATAGGTAACATATCCAAGCCATTTAAGAGGTAATGTTATCATTCCGTTATATTAGTGTTTGGTGTGAAACGATTTATTTTTGTATTTTTTGCCATTTAAGCACTTACGCGTTGTAGAGTAATTACCGTGCAAATCGTATTGATGAAACAAAAAGTTAAGATGAACTCGGTAGGCTACGTGTTCCGTCTCACGCAGTCTTCTATCTTGGTAATATTTTAAAGTATAAAAGCATTTTTTCATAAAAGTTTACCAATTCACAAAATGGATGTTAACAGTTCACGAGCGATACATAAATCGTTTCATGATATATGATAAATGTTTCATTGCACATTGGGTGTAAATATAGAAAAAAACTTTTGGTCGATTTGATTTAATATAGTAGCTCATTTTAGACACGGTAAATTTGTTAATATAAAATATTAAAAAACACATATGACGTCAATAATAATAATAAATATTATTAAACAATGCTAAATATCTTAAAACTACATTGCATTTAATTACACTTCGGATGAAGCATTCCTGTAATAATACACATAAAACAATAAATTGGATTTGTTTATCATGAAGTTTATTTAACATATATCACTTCACCAATAGATTATTGCGTACGTGATCATAAGGTTTCACAAAAATAATTTTATAACAGTAGACAAATATATACAAGGTTGAAACGTTCACGTCAAATAGTTCATTCATAAAAAATATACTGAAAAAGATAATACACGTTTGATATTTAACACATTCTTTGGTTATGAACACAAATCTCCACTTGATTCGGATACGGTATTTAAATTGAATGGAAACTGAGGAATTGTTTGTTCGAGGTGTCTCGTTCTTGTAACTTTTTAAAAGTTAGTCATACACCTGTGTCAATGGAATGGGCGTGTTGTCTAAACCACAAAGGTATCAAGCCGGTCGTCGTACACACGTCTAACTGCGACATATACACTAATAGGAATGGTCACTAAGGGGCCTGATGTAGGACCTCTGTATCACGCAAGGCACTTGTCTGTTACGAAGTAGTAGGCACCCATTCCTATAACTGTCCTTGAGACACAGATTACAAGTATCCGTCCTTTATCCATTGCTGCAGTTCAATAGCCATCAATATCGTTTTATCACTGGAAGATATAGTCTTTTGTTGTCATACAAGTGTCACTGATGTTTCCGGTCTTTCCGTGTTACACTGTTGTATCATTTCCTATACATCGTTGAATTAGCCATAGAACTGGGGTATTTAGCTGCTAAAGTCGAGTAAGACACTCGCATCGAGTCTATCATACAATGGCTGCACGCGCACGGCACGGGCCAACGATTGGAAAACATATGCCTGTCGTGAGGTAGGACGGATGGCATAGATACGGCAGCCTCCTTGGATGTTGTCGGTTCAATGTCGTGCGGATGAACGGACGACATGCCAGGCGGAGACAACGACGGCAGAGCGTGCAGGGATGGCACGCTCGAGGGGTGTGGCGCGTGGGAAGAATGCACGTGAGCTGGTGGTGCTCGAGCTCGCTGACTTCCAGGATGAACTTGGTAGATGTCGCTGACTAACTTTTTCATCTCGTCCAAAGAGCTGTTCAACATTAAAATGTAATTTTTGGCCAATAACAAAGTTGCGATTTTCGAAAGCTTCCGTACTGATGGACCATTTGCATATGGCATCACCTCTCGAAGTCCATCTAATGCAGAATTGAGATCATGCATACGGCGTCTTTCTCGAGAGTTGATCTTTAGTCTTAATTCCTGCAATTCAGTTTCGTTCATACATTTTGCCTGTAGAAGTTTTCGTTTGTTGTTAAGATCTCTAAAGTACTCCTCCTCTGATGCTGTAGACATGGCATAATTCTGTTCTCTCGATACTTCATCGTCTGAAGATAGACCTGGACTTCGGGCGTGATATTCCATTTCTAGTTGTGGCGACACATCCGTACGTTTCTCCATCGGTCTTACACTCGCTACAGTGCTTAGTACTTGAGGTTTCAATATGTGTATGGGCACCCGACCAATTTGTCCACTACTTTGTACGACGTGTCTTTAAGAACTGTTTCTTTTTCATGGGAACCAATCACCCGTTTTAGAAGGATGCAAGAAAGAGTGTAAGGCCTTGTCTGAGTCTGGTTGTGGGCGGGACCTCGTGGTCCGTCGTTACGGCTAATGGCCAGCCCACGTCTCCTCAGCAAGGCGCCCCGCCGTTCCCTCCTTGTTTGCATATTTTTCAAAATAAACGATTTCTATTGCATGTAAAGTAAGGCATTGTGTGTGATAATCTGTACGGGGTATTGTCGCATGTTGTTCTTTATTGTAATGACCCAAAACAGCAAGCACAATTGGGTACACTGTGTCATCCAGAATAGTGTTCACGTGTAAACCATTTTATCCATGCTTATACAGATATCTTGCATCGTAAAAATATAATTTATCACACATTTTATCAAAATTAACAACCTAAAAGTGATGTCTCAATATAAAAAAAGGCTTAAAATCTAATTTCACATCATAGGCAAGTTTGGATGAGAAAACTATAATGAAACCTAAAATCTGTGTCGAATCTTAAATACATGGTGTTTATGGAAAGATATACACAACGTCATAAAAATACGGAAAATTGTGTTTCTGTATAAACATTGCTATCATAATAGTGACGTTACAATCGTAACTGCTGAAACGTGTACAGATGGTAGTGTGTAAAACAAGAAGTAAAACATAGTTCTTACTCATTTTGTGCTCAAAAACTTGTAAAAGAAAAAAAATCGAAGACAAGTTAGTCTATGATGCCATAAACGTTTTGATATCATATATTTTCAATGATATTAATTATATTTGGTATATGTGCACTCATCCTGCTGACTTTTCGCATTAGCCAAAGAGAGATAGTATTTTTTTATTTTTTTTTTGCTCTCTTTTTTTTGGGGGGGGGGGGGGGGGGGATACGTCAAGATAACGGAAATAAGAATTCTCGTATTAACAAAATCGATGAAATATTTTAGCAAAATGTTCTTTGTCTACTTTTCACATGATGATAAAATAATTTGACTGACACGAGATCACATATGTTATTCCGGACATTTCTCCAAACCTAGTATAAAAACATGAAAATGAACTGTTAGATTTGTCGAGGCCGTAGGAGCTAGGTATGCCGTCACTTTGGTGAGAACTACAGTTGAGGCTGACACCTGTCTCTTGCGCCTCCAAGTCACAGGCTGTATAATAGGTATTAGCAGGTATAAAACAGTGGGACACTGGTCGTGGGGCCTCGGTCCACGCCATTCCATGTTGTAATATAATACTGAACACCCTGTGAAGGCAATCAACGTTTAATTACATTTCTATGCACCCGAACATTTTCTTTTTAAATTCGTATAATTTCAGAAAGGGACACATACTAATATTTTATGCCATGAATGTTTTTGATTTCTTGAACAATAGTGTGGTCAAGTGTATGTTTGTCCACTGTCTCCGAAGCCCGTCTCCTGGCGACAGACCCTCCCTGACCACGCCCACCTCAAGGCGGGAAAATGGCGGAGGCAGGCAAATCAATTACACGTGAACAGAAATCAGGCCTGGCCGTATTTGTGTGGAGCGGAGGGGGAGGGACGCTCGCGTGATAAAGTTCTCTTCTGTCATCAACATCAGCATTAAATGCAAATGTTGATATTATTTATTTCATCAGAAATGATTCTGGGTCCCAGAGCACATAAGTCAGGAATTAGATGGTTTTATAGACCAGATCGAGTGATTTCCAGCACATACATCTGATATCTGATGCTCAGGTTGTCCCAGAAAATTAATTCAAATTATAGCTTTAGAAAAGTTAATTTTCTGTGGTGAAAGAACAATTTTTTTAAGTTCAAAATTTCCCACATAGATTATTTTTAGTTGGACATTTATTTTGATAGAAAACAAAACATTTCACTTAGGTTTGGTAAGAGTAAATGTATGCCTTTTTTTAACCTGATGGAATTAAAACCCAAAAACTCAAAATTAGTATCAATTAAACAACAAAACATATTGAAACATTGATCACTTTTGCATTGCATGTATTTTAAGAAAATAGTGCGCACTAACACCAATGTCAGATGAAAAGAAACAAAATATTAGAAAGAAAAAAAAAATCTATATTTTTCTTTGTTTTATAAATTATATATCCGATGCATTATTAATGCATTTTCCGAATTGCACTTATTCTCAAAACTGGTTTAAAATTAAGAATACGGACTATTCATAGCTATATCGAAATCTTATGCGGATTTAATAAAAAAAAAAATGAAAAAAAAAAGAGAAAATCTTAATCTGAACGAAAGACACTCGTGTTTCACCTTTAACATTTAGTAATAAATACAGGATCTCAAAAATGAATTACAATGTTCCATACAACTGTTTTGTCCTTCTAGGACACATTGGTAAAACAGAAGCTTCTCAATAAAAAAAATCCCAGAACCTTCTCAATAAAAAAAAAGAAAAATATTAAATTATTATTGAACCCGCATAAAATTTCGACATAGCTACGAAAAGTCCATAGTCTTAATTTTAAATCAGTTTTGAGAATAAGTGCAATTCGGAAAATTCATTAATGCTGGATCGGATATATAATTTATAAAACACACGAATATCATAAAAGTATCAAATATTTGTTAAATGTTAATGAAAGAACAACAAAGTCAAATTCAATTTGGGTAAAACTGACGTCTGAAGATGTTTTTTTCGAGAAAAGAATCAGGGTCTGATACCGTGAGTTACCAAGAGGAATAACAAACTATTTCATGCTTGTTTATATCGAATGCGGCCTTTCTTACATAAATGTAAACAATGAGTACGTGAAATCCCTTCTTTATATGAATTTCAAAATGTAACGGTTTACTGGTTGATTTCAAATTAACAATGAGTAAAGTGTCAATATGTTGAACCGCGTCACTACATAACAGAGAAAACAGTGATAATACATAGATATATCTACTCACCTTCCCCAGTGTGTGTTTGTAGTCCCCTTTTTCTACAGTTATTGTTGTCATTTCGCATAATCTGTATGCAAACATATAAATACATCAATATTCTTCGATAAGGAAATTTGGTGGTGGAATTACAAGATATTCATTTTCCACTTTGGAGTAATATGATATTATATTACGTCTACAATAGATAATTGTTCGTAATATTTCGTGTTTATATGCAAAGGAATCCATTAAATACTTTATTATTCATAATAAACGAAAATTTTAATAAAATTCCAATCATCATTTTTACTTTTATTTTCAGTGCATTTGTCATAATGATCAATTATAATTTATTAAGTACCATTATTAATTTTCTTGTTTTGTTTGAATATAACAAGATATTTGTTTTACAGATATAGTACTTGGGTTGCCGATATTAATGTATATTACTGTAAGTATGCAAAAAAGAAGAGTTTCATAACGGTGAACTATTTCCTGAAAAGCTTATGCATAAACTACAGCTATACAAATCACTTGTGTTTACTCACGACATAAGCCAGGTACGGCCGAGATATACCATCGCCGGGAAGACGTCCAAGCGGGAACACAGACTTGGGAGCTGGAAAAAAACATGAAACTGGCTTCCAGAAACCAACATTCACATAGGTATGTATTACTGCAGCACGCCAACATAAAACAAACCCAATCACTCGTATTGTTTTGTTCAGCTCAGTTTCTTTATTTCCGAGAACCATCCGACTCATAGGTTAAATGTCAAACAATTGCATAATGTAATACATGTTCAAGAGATTATTATACAAATTTAAATTGATAAAGTGGAGAGTGAGCTTACAAAGTACACAAGTAGTTTACCATATCAGACATTGATTTCCTTACGTTTTCTTGTAACACAATATAAATACTTTCCTAGGTTACATATTTCTTTTACATGATTAGTACTCAATGATTTCGTTAACTTAAAAACATTAGGACTTCTGTGATAGAATCTCTTGATATATTTACATCTCGGGTATTGATATAATGGACATTTTAGGATGAAGTGAAATTCATCTTCTATATCACCAGAAACACAGCGAGTACATGATCTATTCTGTCGAACAAAATTGTTCCGTCTACCCACTTCATATTTAAATTATGAGACGACAATCTAAATCATGTAATAAGGCGTTTGTACTTAGGTTCTATAGATTAACATAAGTAAAATTGAAGTCAAAAATTATTAACAAGGTGCTGGTATAAATAACCTTTAGATGACCTTGATACATTTGCTATCATCTGCTGTCTACAATTATCTAAAAGTCTTTGTTCTATAGTCTTAAAAGCAACATTTACAAGTAAATTGTTCAAACAACGCCCTGCAGGTAGGGCGTAAGAATTGTACCTGCTGCCCCCAATGGCATGATCGTAAGAGGCGACTAAATTTGGGACCTTATCTCTTCTCTCCTTTCTAAATAACTTTCTTCTTCCTAATGTCTCCCTTGACAATGCCTCACTTTTGGCCATTTGTTGAGCGTTCGCCCCTGTGAGGAAGGCTTTGGGTTCTGTCCTTTGGCCGAGACATACCAGTCTTTAAAAATGGTAGTTTCTACTCCTGCTTAACGCTCAGCAAATTAGGAGTGGGACGACTGGTTCGCCCATTGTCAGTATAATGTGACCGGGTGGGGCGTCCTGCTGGGTGTCTTCGGCAGTATGTTTCAGTGAGGTAGCACTATAAAGTCGGCATCAGTTCCGCGCTATCACAAGGAGACAAACACGAACATATCGCAGCCTCCTAAAACACACACACATACACTACACGCATGCATCTTGCACACAGGGGAGGCCGTCCTTAAATGACCTTAGCTGTTAATAGGACGTTAAAAAAAATCAAACAAACAAGTTTTCAAACATATATTCCAAACCAAGACTATAGACAACTCATGCTTAATATTAACTATCCAGTCATCATTTACATTAACACATTCATCATAACATGATTTTAACATACAATTGTCACTCTGTTTCGCCTTATGTCAGTATCTAAAAAATCCTTAATTTTCCTTGTACTATTTGAGGGAGTCTACCTAGCTCACTACAAACCAAATCATTGGAAGTGTTTTTCCGAACTCCTAACAACTTCATACAAAAATGGAGAAGTACTTTTTCTACAACGGGTGATTTGTGAAAACCCCATATCTCGGAAGCATAACACAAAATACTATTCACGTTCTAGTCAAAAACAGAGCACTGGGTTTCAATATCTGAGCAATGATTATGTAATGTTGACATTAAGGGAAACAGAGCTTTCGTGTTTTAAGAAATGTACCATTGTAGTTGAAAAGCATGCCTAGATATTTGAATTCGTCTACTATCTCTAACTGTTGATCGTTATCATACCACACTTCGTTATTTTTAAGTCTCCCGCCAGTTCTAAAGACAACTATTCTAGATTTGTCAAAATTAACTTCTACGCTCCATTTCTTTGTTTAATCATTTGAACAATTCACCATTAACTGCAAACCTTCATGTGTTTTGGACATCAAAACGCTATCGTCGGCGTACATAAGTAGAAACTATTAATCAGTTGCAGTTCAAGGCTTGGACAATTATTGTTTATAAAGTTAATTTCAAAATCATTTACGTACAAAGAAAAGAAAATCGGAGACAGAGCTTCTCCCTGTAAAAGACCGGAATTATTACAGAAATGCTCACTAAAAAACTCCATTAAACTTAACACATGACTTAACATTACGATATAAAGAAGTCAATATTTGTAGAAATTTACCTCGGATTCCAATATTAATAAGTTTGTGTTTACTCACGACATAAGCCAGCACGGCCGAGATATACCATCGCCGGAATGACGTCATAGAGCTGGGGGGAAAACCGGAAACTGGCTTCCAGAAACCAGCATTCCCATAGGTATGTATTACAGCACGCCAACATAAGACAAACCCAATCACTCATGTTTTTTGGAAAACCCTCTTTCCCCTTTATTTCATAACATTTTCTTCAGGTTGGTAAGTATAGATTATATATTTTTTACCAAGAAGGTAGGAAATTTACCAGATCAGAAAGGAAGCAGTCGGAGTCCCAGATGAATAATCGGCAATTATTGCATGGCACAGACCATGCCACACAGAAAATCATGTGATTGACTGGGATAACTCCAAAGTTTTGGACAGATAGAGCAATCTGTTCAAGCGGCAGATAAAGGAAGCCATCTGGATACGCCGCAGTGGGCCAGTTCTAAATCGAGACGAGGGGGCTCAAAGGCTGTCGCACATCTACGACCAAGTATTAAACAAAGTGTAGATGAATCGAGTCATTTCGGTACATATATAACAACTATTGTACATACGCGTACAGCGTAGCCGAATCGACATCAATTTTGTGGACAACTCGTACACATTTTACACCTTTGTGTGCATACGCTTCACTGGTCATTTGTCTGATGAAAGTGACAGTGTACATATCGTACTAGTCATCGAAACGTCACATAGAAAATTTTATTGGTTGTGTAAAAAGAACTTTTCATAATCCTCTTTCCCCTTTTTTATGAATTATCATATATCATATGATTACTCCATTAGTTTATATCATTAAATTACATAATGTATAAAGACGGATTAAATGTAGTGAATAATAATGTTCCTACAAAAATAAAAGATATTAGATGACATACATATATATATTATCACATACAAAGATGTCATATATTTACGTTCTTGTATCATCAACTATCGGGTGCTTTTATATTGTTTAATACAAGTGTTTATCCTACTCATGTATAATAGAATGTAAAAATTGTAGAGATTTCTTTATAATGACTTTCCCCAAATATGGTGCGTAATAATATATATATACAACATTTGATATAGCGCCCAATCTAGCTAACATAAGCTACTCTAAATAGAGAATTATACATGCCTTTTTCCATATCACACCCAGTATCAACCCGAGCCTGCAATATCAGCCCAAAGACCGAAGGCCCGAGGGCTGATATTGGTCGAGGGTTTTTGGTCGACGCTATATCAAATGTTTTTTATTCTGTTTATTACATATGATTTATTTTTATTTTTGAAATATTGAAAAACGAATTTTTCCCAAAAGGGGTGTGATATGGGTTTTGCGGGCTGATACGGGTTTTGGGGTGTGATACGGCGGGGCTGATACGGGTTTTGCGGTGTGATACGGCGAGGGCTGATATGGGTTAGAGCCATTGGGTCGTATCGCACATACAAAAACCCCGTATTTATTAGTAAGTATGTAATAAAGCGCTTTACATTACATAGATATACAAGTAATACAATAATCATTTACATTAATTCAATACAATTTTATGAGGAATTCGCAGGAGCTAACTACTAGGCTAACTATAAGGCGCTAACTATCAGGCGCCATGCCACCTGGCTAATATCTCACAATAACTTTTGTTTCGTTTTTGCATCAGCAACACTTGCCTGCCTACAATGTATCATCATACATATAAAACATTGCATGACATAAAAGGAACAACGAATAGAATTTTCAAAAAAACGCCATTTTAATGAATTTCATGTATGTCAATTTCATTAATTATAGCACAGAAACAGGACATCAGACGATCAGAGACGTATATTACATTATATTATACGTCTCTGAGACGTTGATATACCTAGAAGAGGCTTTTGTTAAGAACTTACCCACGTTGGATTACTGCAAATTCCTTTAGATTTTCAGTAATTTATACGTGCTGTTAAATCACACTTCCTTTTGCAATTTATACAAATCTAACGTGTTCAATATTTATAGTGAGAATGATTTAAAAAATGTTCTATGATTCAGTTTATTTCCGAAACATGATGTGGTATGTCTTGGATCAACCGTTCCAACCACATAAATGAAAGCATTTGCCGTCCAACCTACAGGAACTACACAACATTTGATTGGTCGATACGTTCGTGTGTGACCAATCACATTGTTGCTTCTAACTGTAGCTGTGTAAAAACAATATTACATGTGCTTCCGGTTAAGAAAGTGTTAACAGCATGCCTGTTAAATGTGCTATTTGTGATGGTTCGGCGATATTGAAGAGGCCGAAAACGGTAAGTGACTGCTAAATAAAGTCAATTTAACGACCAATTTCATACAATTAATTTATGACACATGTATAGATGGAAAGAATTATTAATTCAGTCTGACAGTAATCATGACATATTTCATAACACAAGTCTGGCATTGCGTTATGTACTCTACATACGTTTTCTGTAACATCACACACACACGCTGCGTTACACGCAATTTTATGTCATATGTACGCGTACGTTAACTTAAATCACTTTCTCGAAATAGTTCTACATACGGCAAAACATGTCTTCTTCAAATCCCATATGAGCATACATGTCACAAGTTCGTTACAAATATCTAGAATACACATATGCTATACTAGTATGGGTCATAGGTGTGACCCAGATCAGTAAAGCATATGTGTATTTTAGACATTTGTAACGAACCCCAGTGCACACGTGCTGGATATATTAACAGTGACTTATTATATGATGTATATTTGCTAAATATATTCCTAATAGTGTAACAGGAGAAAGAGAAAGGCAACGGCCAGACCAGGGTTTGAACCAATTCCAAGGACCCTCCAAATTTTTGACCGACACTATACCTATTTAGCTACCTTGTCACCAACGGTCGATCCATTCCAGTTCCGCTACATTCCTCCCTCCTTTTTCGAAGTCTCCACCCCCTCGGTTCGAACCCTGTTTACAACCCAGGTTCAGATATCCCCTTGCTTGCATTCTCCCAGTGCTGGAAACAAGGTTTGACAAGCTTGCTAATTTTCTAACAGGAGAAAGAGAAATGCAACTGTCAGACCGGGTTTCGAACCCGGGACCCTCCAAACTCTAGAGGGCCGCTCTACCATTTGAGCTACCTGGTCGGCGACGATCAATTCAAGTCCAGTTCTGCTACATTCCTCTCTGGTGTTTGAAGTCTTCGCCCACAAAGACGCAACTGGTTATAACCCAGGTTCAGATATCCCCCTGCTAAGAATTCACCCATGGCCAGTGCTTGAATCAAGGTTTGGCATGCTTGTCAATTTTGTAACAGTAGAAAGGGAAATGCAATGGCTAGACCGGGGTTCGAACCCAGGACCCTCCGAACTTCAGACAGGCACTGTACCAATTGAGCTACCTGGTCGCAGAACGACCGACCCAGTCCAGTTCAGCTTCAAATAGTATATATACACATCATATTAGTATGTCCATACACACACTAACACTACACGCATGCATCTTGCACACAGGGGAGGCCGTCCTTAAATGACCTTAGCTGTTAATAGGACGTTAAACAAAATCAAACAAACAAACAAACAAAATGTCCAGCACCTATGATTGTACAGGTTTAGGTAAGATTAGACTGGGTGATGATAACAAAGATACAGCATCGTGCCACAAGTAGCCTGGATTTCCTTTATACATATGTATATGGGTATTTCATGCATACATGATACAAGAATCTTTCTTTAGTGTTGAATATGGTGAAAAAGAACATAAGCTCTTAGAAGCCTGTGTTACAACAAGCAATTGATGCATCTCTAACCTTTTTCATTTAATTTTCCTACGCAACTTAAATGAAATTAGACACCCTGAAAGATATTTACTTGATTATTTATCTTACAATATTTTGATGCATTGTCATTCAGGAAATAGTTTACATGTGTTTTTCAAAAATTTGTGATTGGTTTTATTTTCTCCCCTAATAGAGCAGATACTTACATTAGTTACATGTTACACTACTATAAATGGGTTTCTCGCCTTTTACCAAGGTGGCCGGGGTTTGATTCCCCGATCAGACGTGAAATGGTATGGGATCATCTGCCAGACCATGACCATCTAGGGTTTTCTCCGGGTACTCTGGTTTCCTCCCAAATTTAGACTCTATATATACTAGCTAGCGCACTAACATCCAGGCCAACACGAGTTGTATTAATATTTTAATGGGCTTCTGGTGTGTATAAGTAATAGATAGCGATTGTAAAAAAAATACATTTCATCACTTGAAAATTATATTGATGGAATTCAATTATAGGTACAAAGATAATGCTACAGCTGTGATATTGACAGATGTCGACGGTGTAAATGTTTAGAGTAATCCAATCACAATTTCAAGACCAAACAAATGCTATAATGTAGATGTCCGTGATAGCAATCGTAACAATAGCAAATTGCATAAATATATGTATGTATATTGACATGCTTTTGTTTTACTGTATGTCTGCTGGGTAGTAGTAACACACGTATAGTCAAACTTAAAGCAGGAGGCCCATTAAAAAAAATGTTTTTTTTCATCAGGTGTCTCTTAGATTAACAGTATTACTGCTGTTATTCACTTTACATTTTAATAGCTGCATTATATACATGTACAATACATAGTGAACTTCATGGTTGTTATAAATAATTCAATTAGCTATAGCACAAACAGTATAGTATATATACATGTACTGTAAAATCATAATTTTTGGTGGGACATTCAATTTCGTTTATTTCGTGGATAACAAAAATCTACGAAATTAAATCTCCACGAAAAAATAAATATGGTATGACATAGATAGGAGAAAATCAAAAAACAGTGAAATATAATGTCCTTGAAACAGGCTAGTATACGAAAACCACGAAATTTTAACCCCATGAAAATAAATGATTCTACAGTATATTTAAATGTAAATATGAATACATGTTGGTGTACTTAGTGTATCTCTGGTAATGCATTCTAAAAAAATACAAAATTAGGAAAACAAGCAATTACACACCTCAAACATTTTGACAAATCACATGCTGTCTCAAATAGTAATATCCTGTTTTGAAGTAGTAACAGATGTACAGAAGGCAGAGCAGAGATTCACATACAAAAGAGGATGTGTAATTAGAGTAGTCACTTGAAAGTCACTCATTACCTGTTTCTGGCCACAGGGCTTTAGTGAGTGATCCTGCTGAGCTTTGTACAAGGAGAACTTTAAGATCAGATGTGTGGACAATGGCTGCTGTGACTCTGTAACTGCCAGGTCAACACATGGACAGGCCACATCTCTAACCTTTTAGTCAACAAATAACATATGTGTCATGATGGACAACAAAATATATAGTCATGGTAGACGATTATTAATGGTATAGATAGGTACACATCTAGCAGAAATATCCATTTTGGCAGTAGAATATACAGTAACTTACTGCGTTGTACAATGTTAATCATAATGCTCATACTGTGTATTGGAAGGTATATGGTATAGATGTGTGTGATAAACCATATGTCTATATAGAATGAATCACAAATGTCAAAGTACATATGCTTTTTTATTAGGGCCACAAAGTCACCATTTATGTTGACAGCAACTCACCAAATTGTAAAATAATGCACAGCAACTGTGTCACGACATTCCCCACATACACCCTGACCTCCATATGAGGGAAGCTTACTAATAATTGGAATATGCTGTAGATGGAATCATGGTGCTGTAGATTTTAGCTCACCTGGTCCTTCGTACCAAGGTGAGCTTATGCCATACCGCAGAGTCCGTTGTCCGTCATCCGTCAACTTTACACTACTAGTCATGAACCACTGAGCGGATTTTAACAAAATTTGGTGTGGAGCATCCTTGGGTGAAGAAGAACCAATTTTGTATAAATGGTGGGTCTGGGCCACCAGGGGCCTGAGGGGTGGGGCCAAATAGGGGAAATAAAGCAAATTATTCTTTAAAATCCTTGTTCTTCTGTAGGAATGAAAGGATTTGGTCCATATTTGGTCAGAAGCATCCTTGGGGGAAGGAGAACAAAGTTTGTGTAAATGGTGGGTCTGGCCCCCCTGGGGGCTGAAGGGCAGGGCCCAATAGGGGAAATATAGCCAATTCTTTAAAATCCTTCTTCTTCTGTAGTAATGAAAGGATTTGTTCCATATTTGGTCAAAAGCATCCTTGGGGGAAGGAGAACAAAGTTTGTGTAAATGGTGGGTCTGGCCCCCCCGGGGGCTTAGGGGCGGGGCCCAATAGGGGAAATATAGCAAATTATTCTTTAAAATCCTTGTTCTTCTGTAGGAATGAAAGGATTTGGTCCATATTTGGTCAGAAGCATCATTGGAAGAAGGGGAACAAAGTTTGTATAAATCGTGGGTCTGGCCCCCCTGGGGGCTGAGGGGCGGGGCCCAATAGGGGAAATATAGGTAAAACCTTTGAAATCCTTCTTCTACCGTAGGGATTAAAGGATTTCATCCTAATTTGGTCTGGAGCATCCTTGGGTAGTCGGGAACCAATTTTGTATAAACCATGGGATTGGCTCACCAGGGGCCTGAGGGGCAGGGCCCAATAGGGGAAATATAGCAAATTATTTAAAATCCTTCTTCTTATGTATGAATGAAAGGATTTGGTCTGAAGCATTCTTGGGTGAAGGGGAACCAATTTTTGTATACACCGAGGATCTGGCCCCCCAGGTGCCTGAGCCATGGGGCCCAATAGGGGAAACATAGCAAATTATTCTTTAAAATCCTTCTTCTTCTGTAGGAATGAAAGGATTTGGTCCATATTTGGTGTGGAGCATCATTGGGTAGTGGGGAACCAATTTTGTATAATTGGTGGGTGTGGCCCCCACTGGGACCTGAGGGGTGGGGCCCAATAGGGGAAATAGACGTAAATCTTCAAAATCCTTCTTCTTCGGTAGGAATGGCAGGATTTTGTCCATATTTGGTCTGAAGCATTCTTGGGTGAAAGGGAACCAATTTTGTATAAACAGTGTGTCTGACCCCGCTGTAGGCAGAGAGGTAAAACCTTTAAAATCCTTCTCCGTCCATCAGGATTAAGGGATTTTATCCTTATTTCGTTTGGAGCATCCTTGGGTGACGGTGACTCAATTTTGTATAATTGGTGGGTATGACCCCCATAGGGGCATAGGGGTGGGGCTCTGTTTGAAGTTTGTTCTCTAAATCTCAAGTACTGGATGGACCTTTCTGAAATTTCATATGTACTAACAGCACCTACCATGGAGTGCTGTATCTTTACTTATACCAATTACTTTAATTATATTCAGGTGAGCGATACAGGCCCTCTGGG